AATGAGCAACTTACAGGTTTGTAAAAGGTCTTTTTGCCCATAGGTGATTTTCCTGTGTCACCAACTGCACTCCGATTGCCATCTCATCCCCCCTCACACCCTTCTTTGCAAAACTGGACAACTCTATGGGGACTAGGGCACAAAAATTATGAATCCTTCTAAAAACTTTTACACTAATTTAGGAAAACATGCTTTTTAACAGTTAAGATAACATGTAAGCCTGTATATCTTACCTTTTTCTCACTCAGTTTTGTCTGAATTAAATCATCCTTTAATAAATTCACTCTCAAAACAAAGGCAGTGTCCAAGGCCACAAAAGCATTAACTGTTGTCTTTAGAGAACTACAAGTTCATGCAGATAGTAACTTTCCTGATACTGTCAAATATACAGTTGAATACATTACACCATAATACTTTATCTTTTTAGCTTCTGGGCCGTTATCTTCTATGGTAACCACAAGGGTAGTCACATGTTATCAGCACTTTATTACAGGTCATACAATACCTACAGAAAGGTAAAAAATGACTCATTGATCTTTCCACAAAAATATGCGGCTCTCAAGCTCTCAGCCATCACTATACTTTTACCCAGTAGCCACTGAGAGCCCCCAGTGTGGCGGAAGAGCCACCAAGTGATATGTGAGGCACTATTGTGGCCCTTCCATTTTAAAAAACTGAGTTAAGAAGACAAAGTTAATATCTAGAAAAAATTTCAAGTAAGATAATATATAACGATGCTAATTAGTATAGATAGAAAGCTGAGTTCACTAGGATCTAAGTTCAACATGGGCACAGCACAATGTTAAAGAAACTTCAGACTATAAATTAGATTTTTTCCTGCAAGGGACCTTAACAATCATCCAACACCCTCACTTTACATCAGATGAGATCCAGAGACCCAACTAATAGGAATAAAATCATTGTTAGCTTCAGAGTAGCACATTTTTTTAATGTGTGAATAAAAAATGTTTATCTTTAAATTTTTTTTCCTTAACCTTCACCAAGAATATGTTTTTTCTGATCTTCAGAGAGAGAGGAAGGGGGAGAGAGAGAGAAACATCGATGTGAGAGAGAAAAATTAATTGGTTGCCTCTCGACTAAGGATCGAACCTGCAACCTAGGTATGTGTCCTGACCAGGAATCAAACCTGCAAGCTTTTTGGTGTACAGGACAACGCTCCAACCAACTCAGTCACCTGGCCAGGGCAAGAAATGTTTTAATAATCTATTAAAGATATATCAAATGCTCCTCACTTGCCCTTATGTAAAAAGTGTATGAATGTATTGCAAATTCTGAACCACATATAAAAAAGTGGTAGATCTCCAAAGCTGTGCTTTCTTCAAACTCTGAGACAACAGCACAAGTGAGCGCACATAGGATTTAATTCCAGCTGCACCGGCAAGTCTGACCACCAGCACTCTTTCTAGGAAGGTTTCGACTTTCAAAGCATAATGCATAGGGTATTAGCTCAATGAGCAAGGATGCTTCAGTTTCCTTGGAAGGAAATCAGGAAGGGAAGCTTTCTGCCTGGACTGAGCACCACCTTTCCAGGATCTGTTAAGTGGTAATGGCTTCTACCATCGGACAGCACCTCACTAGGCACAGAGATTGAGTGTGAATGCCCATATCGACCTTCCTCCCCATCTCAGAGGAGCCCGAGCTGCTGCTTTAACTTCCTCTTTGGCCGCAAGTAAAGGGATCTGATTCCTTCCTGCTGCAACATTTTCTTAGCATTTTAATGTCACTTGCCCCAGAAAATGATTTGCTTCACTGAATTATTTTTATGGGGCTAGAACACGTGTGTATTGATAGGGAAGTTATTTAAAACTGTGTTTCAAAGGGTAAGCAAAGCCACAACCTAGGACAAGGTTACCCGGTCACCTCCAAGCAATATGTGTGTAAGTTGTCCGCACGCACCTCTGTTTGCACAATCTTCCAGCCAAGCACATCGGCCACAAACACTGGGGCCCACAGACAGGAGATTTCTGACCTCTAGTCAGAGGCCCTTCTCAGAATGCCATGTCTGTCAGACTGCTGATGAGAGAATCTACAATTAAGAGAGACACTATTCACAGGCTGGTGGGTCAACATATACAGAAGGGTCACTGTATTCAGAAATCTGCCATGAAAATGCTAGGCAAGTAGTCCTGCCATAAACACACACACTCATACATACCTCACAAGCAGAAAAACAGAAGGGTGAGCAAGGTAAAACTCTAACTCACACGATCCTGCGAAATGAAATAGAGGAGCTTGCCTCAAGAGAAGCAGTTAAAAAAAAAAAAAAACTTAAAAGGCACTAGTGTTCCTGGCAAGGTTCAGACGGAAAAACAGCAACAGATCCCAGAAGCAGAGCTCTAGCCAGGAATAACCTAAGCCCAAGCCATTTTAAGTAAGGGCAGGATAACACTCACTAAGCTTCACTGAATGGCTCCCATGCTCTGGGCCTCCAGGCGGAGCCATGCCTTGTGGTCTACTACAAGTCAATCAACAAACATCAACCAAATATTTGCAACATGTTTAGGTCTCTGCGAGTCATTGTGGTGGGGGGAGGGGTTGAGCAGATTTTTGTCAGGCTTATGCCAGGCACTAATTAGGCACCAGACCATCTTCACAATGAAATCAGCAGGGGGAAGCATTTCCCCTAGTTTACATGTGAGAGGACTAATGCTGGGTGAATCTCACAAGGCCACATGAGTAATAAGTGAAGCCAGTCCCTGACCTCAATTCTGCTTGACTCTAAAGCCCACAAAGCCACATTACCATGCATAAAATATGGCTCCTGCCCTAATGAGGCTTAAAATAGCCTAAACCAATTAGAGATCAATACAGCCAGTATAAGGAAAGGCTAAAAAACAAGTATCTTAAGGCTTTAAAGAAAGAGGAGAGAAATGAATAGTTAAAAAAGACATTATGAAAAAAGTAGGACTAAGGCTCCTCCACAGAAGATGGGTAAGATTTAAGATTTGCACAGCAGAGTGGAGAGAAGGGAGGGAGTTTCTAGGGAGAGCCTGGCCCCTTTTAGCAGGATAGCAAGAAGACCAAACCCCATAAAGCACAAAGATGTATGCTAAACTGAAAATAAGATTTAGATAGAAGAGATGAGGCCTGCTTATGAAAGGCCTTGTAAAATCAGTTAAATTATTTTAGAGAATGGAGAGGAACTGCAGGTGGCAAGTCAAGGAGTGGCATAAAGAGGTGATAGTTTAAAAGTTTAAAAAGTTTAGACTAACAAGGAATGCTGAATATTCCAGAAAGAGGCGCATCTCATTCATTCATTCATTCATTCATTCAGCAAACATTTACTGAGGACTTACTGAGAGCCAGGCTTGGGAGGCTAGCTAAGAGGCTGCTTGTCTGCAGGAGAGGAAAGGTGGGGTTCTGGATTAAAATATAGAGGGAGGGATCTATACACATCATGTTTCTAAGGTCTTGATGACTCATTGATATCAGGACGGAAGGAAACGAAGGAAAAGATAATTACAGATAAGTCCAAAGGTTCAATTGCAACATGATTTCCACCTCTACTAGGAACCTCAAAAAGCAATGAGAATAAAACAAACAACGGGGTTTGATGACGCTGAACAGTCAGCAAATAACCCCTCCCAAAAGGCTCGTTCTTTATCCTGGTAGCTAATTTACATATAGTCTGTAGGTAGGAAACTTCACCGAGAAAAAACATTTCTTTGGGACTAAAAATGCCCAGTTCCCTAGACAAGGAAGACAGACCTCTGCCTACTCAGACAGGCTCCATCAACCCTCCAACATATCCCTCCATCATCTAAAACTAAACCAATCTCCTTTAGAAACCTGACTACCCACTCCTGCCCAACCACCAGTTTTAACTTTGGAGATGGGGAACAATGCAAAGTGGAAAGAGGGGAAATAAGAAGTGAGCAGGGTCACTGTAGAGGGCTAGCCCTTAGGGAGAGGATATCCTTTTACATAAAGAATCCCAGCACATCTCTCATTTCTACATCCACTTCTTAGTGTTTTACAATTAACTGGTCCTCAAATAAATAGGAAGGTCTTGAAGATTCTGTACCAAATCCTAGCGCTTTGTTCAGAAACTATTTCAAATGTGCATATTTATGCATACATTAACTCCTAGCACAGCTAGCATATGGTTGAGTCGCAAATTCTTCTTAATTATTTATGATGACTACACAAATGTAAAGCTCATTTTAATTTTCTATCCAGCAATAGTACAATTCACTATTGGGGCACATCCAGGAAGCCCACTCATTGGAAAATGTGAGAAATGAAAACTGTAGCTATTAAACTTCTATTGCTATAAAGAGTGGTCCAGGACAAAATAAAAAACACACAACTGCTAATACCTTAGAGAAATCTAGGCCTGCATGCAAAATTCAAGGTGGTACCTCAGCACAGTCAAGCTTTAGCAAAGGCGGATCTTTATTTAGTTGAAGTGGAAATGAACAGTCTTTCCGCAGAAGGATGCATTAAACTACTTTCCTATTTAAAAGTAAAAGCCCTCAATGTCAAACTTTAAAAGGTGCCTTACAAAAGAAACTCTTGTTCTAGAAAACCCTTCAACACCCCTCTCATAACAGGTACTCACATTAGTAGAACAGAAATCAGAGCAGAAAGAAACCCAGTGAAAAATGGTTGCACATAAATGTGTAAGGATTCTTGCTCAGACCCCTTGCGGGACAGCCAAAGGCCTAGTCAGGAAAATTCCAGAGCAAGTCCTCCACATCCTACTAAAGGGGCTGCAAATCGGGCACGAATCTTTCCCCTCTGAAACACTAAAAGGTAAACACCCATCGAAATCTTCCACACTCCGAGGAATCGGGAGTTTTCATGCCTAGAGGGAGAGACCCACATGACCGCGCAGAGAAACTACAGCCCATTAACCTCTCCCTCCGGCTCCGATCACTCAAGGGGCCTCGGAACAGGGGTCCCCCCGGCAGCTCCAGCCCATCGCCCCGACTGACAGGTCGCCCTGCAGAAGCCCCTAAATCCCTGACCCCACTTACTGGCGCGGCGAACACAGGCGGGGGCCCGCCCCTGCGGTGAGCGCAGCTCCCCGGCGAGCGGGGCGCGGCAGCGGGCTCGGGGACCGAGAA